ACAACCACATGAAAACTAAATATTAAACAATATTTACTTATTAATATTTATTTTAATATCAATCACTTACTTATTAATTATATAAAGTTTATATATTTTGTGTAAGTTAATCACATAGTGTTAAAAAGAGAATGCTTGAAATTGTGTCTCTACCACTCCTTTCGCTATAAATAATTTGTTAAAATTATACAACTTTATTAATATTATTTTTAAAATACATAATCTATTTAATTTAGTTATTAAAAATAATTAATAATATTTAGATCATTAAAATCAAGTTAAAAATTAATATTTAAAAACATTAGATCAATTATTTAAATAAAAAAATTATAAACAATAGTCAAATTAAACACACCCAAATATAATTTATGTGGTCGAAATATTATTATATAACTATAATCATACCCACAACAACCTGGGGTATTGAAAATGTTAATTTTTTATATTAATTTCCCAACTCCAAGTCTCCAACTTTAAGACAAACACCGAATAAACCCAACCTCGAGCTTTAAAATAAATTTACTTCTTTACTACTTCATTGGATAAAAATCCTTTATTTGGACAAATGCGTTTCCATGACGGACGTGGACAGCACAGCCATCGTACCCGTGATTGCGGCAAGTGGGGTGGGACAATAATGAAATATAATTTTTATATAAATAAGATTTATTCATGTATATATATATTTTATATTTTATATTTATATAAAATTTTTATTTTTAATTTTAAATAATTAAGATTTATTTATGTTATTGAAATTAACTCTCTGTTTTACTTAAATTTTTTTAACAAATTTCAACTATAAAAGTAAATAAATAAATACTTAAATTTTTTATAAAAAATAATTAAAATTTTATATAAATATAATATATAAGATTTATAAAAAATAAATATTTTTACTTTTTATATAGAAAATTTTGTTTTATAGTCTAAATTGATTAATACTATAAAATAAAAATTATCTAATGAGAAAAAATCTTTTTATATTGAGATTCAATGTTTATCAAATTATTAATATTTTATAATTTGAATTAATTTAAATAATTTAATATTTAAATGATTAAATAACTCGATGATTTTTTCATTGTACTAGAAATTTTCTCCTTTTTGGTTAAAAATAAGAGATTTTGAATTTAAAATTTATGACATGTGAGTAAAATAAGATAAAAAATAAGAGATTATTATCACTTATTGTACAATTAAAATATATATATATATATATATGTGGAAGTCAATTATTTGACTTTGACCACTTCTCCTCTAATTTCAAGCAATCGAAACAGAGGCATACCATTCCTTTCTCCATTCTCATTATTCCCATCTCCACTGCTTCATCGCCAGCTGCTACTCCACCATGGATTTGATGCGCCACTCATCTACCTTTCTTCTCCCGACGATTCCTACCGACGGCCAGTCTTACGCACTCGTCGTTCTTAATCAACGTCTTCCAAGATTCACTCCTCTGCTTTGGAAGCACGGTACGTCTCTTCTTCCTCGTTACTTAATTGTTTTTCTTCATATTTTACTTCAGTATTTGATGATTTAGGGTTCTTTTTCTTTTCCTACTCTGAGGATTGTTATTTGTTTTTCCGTGGAGCAGCACGGATTCGGCTCTGTGCTGACGGTGGCGCCAACCGCCTCTATGATGAAATGCCTCAGCTTTTATCTTGTAGTGAAGATGCGTCAGATGTTCGAAGCAGGTTCTGTGTTTCTTTTTTTCCATGTTTATGCTGTTCTGAGCCTGCTATGTGTGTTCTTCAGTTGTGATATAGGTGTTATTTACTGTAGCTGTTGTTCTCTGAAAGTTTTATTAGATATTATTAAGATTTTGTTTGATTAGTTCTATATGAATGAAACAAATGCTTTGAACTATGGTAAGAAATTGGGATCTGAACGTTGAAGAAACTGGAATTTAGTTTAATTTAGTCCTATTGAATTTCATAGATGCGGCGTAGTGGAATCATCTATTGGTTTCATTGATTCTGTCTTTGGAATCATAAGTTATTTCAGAATTTACTTCATTCTGAACTCAAGTAGGAGATTGGTATAATCAGAAAAAGATTAGGAATTGAAATAGAACTGGTGATAGTTTAATGATAATCACTCATTTGAGCTTCTTTGCCTTTTTTGTATCTCAATTAGTGAGTGCTATTTCTCTAGGCTGGAGCCGCTGCCAGCTATAATGGATGGTTTTGAGTATTAGATGTTTCAAAATAATTTTTTTTTTTTACAGCTTAGCTATTAAGTTTATTCTTATTTCTTTTAAGGATCTAATAACACAAACTCTTGGATCTATACCAGGTACAAGCCAGATATAATCAAAGGAGACATGGATTCGATTCGAAATGAAGTACTGGATTTTTATACAACCCTGGTAAGCTTTTTAGTTTCTCTCTACAAAACAAGTTAAGTGATCACAGTTCGTGTTTTCCATTATGCGTCTGAGGCTTGTTTTCTTTCCATTCTTGATTTACTAACTTCTCTCATTGGTTTTTAAGCCAAGATATATTTATGTAGGTTGCATGCTAAAGTTCATTCCATTCTGTTGTTATCAGTGTGTGTTCTTTTCATTGCGTTTTATACTATTCAGGTTTGAGTTCTCTGGTCCAATATTTTTTGAGTGATTGGGATTGTGCTGAAGTGTTTTCTCTTGCTTGATGCAGGGAACAAAGGTTGTAAACGAATCTCATGATCAGGATACCACAGATCTGCATAAATGCATAACATATATTCGTGACTTCACTCCAGATTTGGAGAAATCTAATGTAAGTTATATACTATTATTATCTTTGACGTATCTTGTAGTTATTTCTTCTTTCATTTGATCAACCATTTTTTGTGAAAGTTTGAACACTATTTTCTTTTGATTTTGTATTATTCTAAGTTGTACTTGGTGTGAGGCAGTTTTGCATCTGATGTGTGTACTTAGTTTGGTATCTTTACAACTTTGTCCTTAAATGTTATGGCAGCTTTGCATTCTTGTTGCTGGTGCACTTGGTGGACGGTTCGACCATGAGTCTGGAAACCTTAATGTTCTATATCGTTTTTCAACCATGCGTATAGTTCTTCTTTCTGATGATTGCCTCGTTCATCTTCTTCCAAAGACTCACCATCACGAGATAAACATTCAACCTTCTATTGAAGGTCCACACTGTGGGCTTATCCCTATTGGGATGCCATCACAGAGAACTACAACTACTGGGCTTCAATGGGACCTGAGTAAGTATATGGTCTTGAACTTATGTCTTTAATATGAGTCAAACCCATTCCTTTAAGAAAAAGGAAAGAACCCACATTATGTGGAGCACCAGTTGTGTCTATTATTATCTGTTAATATTATATTGGCTTCAAAATAGCAATGACTTGCAAGCTCACACATGAAGAAATGTGAATTGTTCATGGTTCTGTTGGATGTCGATGATCCTGTGGTCGCATTTATTTCATCTATCACTTTTATTATTATTATTTTTCTCTCTGGTTTATCACAGTATCACGGAGATTGTGATACTGTTAATTTGTCTGTTTTATTTCCCATCATCCCAGCTGACACAGAGATGAAATTCGGTGGTTTAGTAAGCACGTCAAATATTGTTGAAGGGGAGAAAATAACTGTGCAATCTGATTCTGATCTTCTTTGGACGATATCCATCAAGAAGTAGTTGGTGCTCAAGCCGCAGATTTGATTGCTGTTTCTAGCCTACACTGAGTTGGACGATTCTGATTCTTATATATACATATTATAGCTAATTTTTTAAATTATAGATAGTTGCTTTTTTGGCAGTTATTCAAATAAATACTGTACGGTCTGTACCATTAACTTTTTCTTTGTTTTTTTTTTTAATAAAAAATTTTAAATTAAATTAGTTAGTATTTATTTTTGGGGAGAATCAAATTCATAATTAGAGTACATTTTCTCTGCTACTCAATAGGCAGCGTGGTCACCATTATATCACATAGGGAATTGCACTTTTTTTTCGCTCTTTATATTTGAGAAGAATCAAAAATATTGATTCATAATAGTCAGGACACAATTTATGTTTAATTCATTCATCAAGCTTCTTACGTAAAAGTTAAATTCGAATTCAAACATTCTTCTTTAACTTGTAGGTATAAATAATTGTGCATAATGAATCGGGCCTTTAAATCTAATGGTTCGACCTCAAGTTTTAAGTGCTTGGGTGAGATAGTCGGAGTTTTTAGCTCCATCACTGTCGTAAATTCCACCAAAAAGTAACTTGATGGCCACGCACCTCATTTGAAGGGGTGGAATGTTCACCCAATTTGAGAATCAGTTGCTAACAACTAATTC